TCTATAAAGGGCTCTTCAGTGCAATGATGCAACTTGTGATCGGGAGGTCTTTAAGCCACAGTTTGCCAGAAAACCAGAGGGTATGTTGGAAAAGTGTGACTGAATACTTGCTGTCTTTTTGCCCTCCATTTGCTACTACCAAGGCAGGTATCAGACTGCATGGATTATTAGTTAAACCACTCAGTCATTCTCATGCTGCTGTTGGTCTTTTCTCATGAACTGGTCTTTATAGTTATCAGTCCAATATAGGATGGAGGAAACAGCAACAGAAGTATAAAATCTCTTAGCTGTACAAGTTATCTAGAGCTCATGGAGTAAAATGGGTCCTACTGCCTTCCTTAAAACCTATTTGCTTTTCTTATTCATTCTGCATAAATTTAGAGATCAGGTGAGTTTATAGAGGAGAAAATTCCAATGGTCTCTTCTGCTACTTTTCTACGCAACTTAAAAGGTAATTTTTGAGACTGGGATTACAGACACTCAAACAGGTCATTGGCATACAAAATCAAGTTGTCCTGACTTTTAAAAATTGTAGAAGCATATTCACTCTCTAATAGAAACTTAGGACACCTCAGAAAGAATTATTTTACCTCTTGAATAATCTAATTTTCTCACACATTTAGAAGCTTCTCTTCCAATGAAAACAGGGCTTTCAACTGCACAGCTTGCTCATTTGTACACAGGTATTATGGTGCAATTTGCTCCAGGCTTATGCCACAAGCTTCGTTCTCTATGTGCCTGTAGCCTTAATTATCCCACAAATTACTTTGAAATCCCCAAAGGAAACCTTCCTATCCAAAGCAATATTTAGTTTTTATTTATAGCTGTCGGAGCAAAAACGAGGCTACGGAACGTGAGTAGACACAAATTCCTGACCACACATCTCCAAAAGAGGTTGAACAGCAATTATGTTCTGTAATTTGCCATTTGAACCAGCACTGGCTTTTTCTTTAGCTCATTTATCTAATTTAAGTCTTTCAAGTCAGGAATAGGTTTGATGTTGGTGTAATAGCAATAGGGCTCATTCATCCCCTGTGATGTTTTGTTTTTCTCAGGATTACCTTCTCTTTCTGTTATGTCATCTGCGTGCTTATATACCTTCAGCTTCAGTTCCCCACTATATCTATTGTCTGAAATGGTACTTTCTCAAACCTTCCTTCAAATTGTATAATGCCCTCTTCTCTGCCCAAAGACAGACACTTAGGACTCTGTCCTTTGAATGTATTCACTGGATGGAGGGCAAATTCCTGCAGACCTTACATTACCCCCATGCTATGTCTTCTTGAATCCAGTCTGCTCTGTTGACTTATAACAGCATTTTGTTACAACTCAAGTACTTTTCTTTGAGCTTCCCAAGCAATTATCTGGACAGAACTGTATAGGTTGACAGTGTGAACCTATTTATGCACTGCCTGGGCTTTTTGAATGGCGACTTTGCGTATAGCCTATGCTTAGATGTTACTGAAAGCACACAGAGCATGGAGATGTTTGATGCACAACTTCAGGTGGTTTGGGTGGTATCATGAAATGAATGTTAACTGGTTTTGTCTTCTGATCTACCAATTGGCTTTTTCTCCTGTGAGAAGATTCATCCAACTTTGGGTAACTAAATCAGACGTGCTACGTCTTCTTGAATCCAGTCTGCTCTGTTGACTTATAACAGCATTTTGATGTTTGATGCACAACTTCAGGTGGTTTGGGTGGTATCATGAAATGAATGCTAACTGGTTTTGTCTTCTGATCTACCAATTTGCTTTTTCTCCTGTGAGAAGATTCATCCAACTTTGGGTAACTAAATCAGACGCATAAATCCATCAGAAAGTGCAGAGCGATTTACATGAAATTAAGCTTTGCTTTAAATTATTTCTGGAGTTCAGATTTGTAACGTTAGGTAACAAACCCAGAAGACATTATTTTGTGCAAGAAATGCATTCCCAGGTTTCAATTAAGAATCAATCTGTGTAGTTTCTTGGATCAGACATTTAAAGGAAATGTGACCAACCTGCTCAGCTAATATCTTACATATGCTGAACTTTTTAAATGGCATGTGTATCTTTCAGAGTTTTTCATACAATAGAGTATTAGTAAGTTTAATTACGAATCTCTGGGTATATATAGTCACCTACACTGAAAGGTATGAGAAGTTTCAAAAATCTTTTGCAAATATTTTAAAGATCAGACATTTAAAGGAAATGTGACCAACCTTCTCAGCTAATATATTACATATGCTGAACTTTTTAAATGGCACGTGTATCTTTCAGAGTTTTTCATACAATACATTATTAATAAGTTTAATCACGAATCTCTGTCACCTACACTGAAAGGTATGAGAAGCATCTCTTTCTCTTGGCAACATAAAGTTTGAAAAATCTTTTGCAAATATTTTAAAGGTATCAAGGAGTGAAAAAAAAAAAAAAAAAAGAAAAAAGAAAAAAAATCTTTGAAAAATGAGAGGGGACTTTGGGACATCAAATTCATTGTTGCCAAATATCCTGGGAAAGGGAATATGTAGTCATGCAACATAACATGAAGTGTAGATTAGTTTAGATGCAGGGAGGGGACTTTGGGACATCAAATTCATTGTTCCCAAATATCCTGGAAAAGGGAAATATGTAGACATGCAACATGAAATGAAGTGTAGATTAGTTTAGTTGCAGATAATAGATGTATAATGCACTTGGGACAGGGAAAGGTGGTAGTGAGGGAAAGGATTCGTAATTTGCTCTGGAAGCTGCTCTGTTACTTTAAAAGAGGTTGAAACACTTCCATAACCATTTACTTAACTGAAGAGTCTTAACTAGGTCTTGTTTAGAGAGATTTCTGATACTGCAAGTTTAAATCTGATGCTTCCCTAGTCCCCACTTGACCCAGAATGCAACACGTCTTCTCCTGCTGCCTGCAACGTGAAGGAAAACTCCTGATAATGGCCATTTGCAATTAGCACTCACAGTTTCTCCAACTTGTTCATAGAAAACCAAGTGTTAAAAGAAGAAACATCAGCTAATTTGCTTGTCTGACACTTCTTTTGCTAATTGTGACTGTCTCTGCCCTCTCACAAAAATAATATGACAGTATGAGTAACAGTAAAGAGATTGTTTGCTCGTGACTTACAACAATATCAATTACTCGTCAGTATTTACATAATACTGCAAGTGGTGCATGGTTTGAATAAGCAAACAGGAAAATAAATGGATAACTCTGGTTCTTGTTAGTCTCCCTAGTAATATTTATGTTCTGGTTACAACAATTTAAGAACTTAATTGTTTTCTATTTATTTAAAATTGATCAGTTTTGTAAGTAAATATTTGAAGTGAGCCATGCTTTAACTTTATTGCTTTACTTCTAGCAAGGATCGTAAATTTAAACAGCAGGGTTATTAACATGGTACTATCTTGAATTCTTTCTGAATGATCTGGTAGCACTTGGAATCTGAAAAGTGCCTGGGACCTATAGTAATCTTTCAGAAAGTGAGTATATCCTTCAAAAATTAATAAATATAATTAGTTTGCAGGGCTGGCCTTACTTTTCAAGGGGAGCTGATTGGCAACTTTCTGTGAGAGTGTGTTTTTTTAATTATGGTTATGGGAAAATTTTTTTTATCTCAGTACACTGGCTCAATTTTGTCAATTTTTTCCACCCTGTTCAGAAAATCTGTGACCATATATAGTGTCATATATATATTGTGTCACAGCACACAAAATTAGTGTCCATATCTAGACCTATTGTTGCACATTCATCCAACCTCTTTCTGAACCTGCTGACACTGTCCATCTCCACAACCAGGATCTTCTGTTAGCAAGATGTGGAATTGCTCTCCCTCTTGTGTAGAGAGGAAATACTTTCATTTATTGTGTTTTTAAATCTCAGTCTCATAAAGTATCCCTGCTTCTAGTATTACAAAACTTTGTTTATAGCAGTTCAACATGATGTTGGATATATGGGTAGGGCAAAATTTTGCATAGCAACAAAATTGTTGTAAATATTCATTGTTCTGTATTATTTCGTATTTTATTAAAAGGGAAAAAAATGAGCCTTTGTTGCCTTGTTTATAGGACTGGTACCAAACAAAATGTTTCATTGTGCCATCTGCAGTGCCAATAAATCTTTTTCCTGGCTGCTTAACTACTTCAGAAGCCAGAATTTTATTTCAAAACAGACATGATAAATATATTTATGTTGTAATTATAATTAAGAAGTTAAAGCTATGCTCACTTTAATTGTGGTTTAGCTTCTCTATTGCTCATTTTGCTATTGTGAATCAAGCTTTAAAATAGAAATGTTAGAATATAACGCTTAAAAATGCAGAGGCATTTAGAGAGAGAAAATCTTTATTATGTGGGTTGTCAGCAAATCAGATGGAGAATGGAAATGATGGCCTTCATGAGGAACAGGAAATTAAGGGTATGGATTCACTGTAGCAGGGAAGGCTCTATTTTTAGGGAGAGATCATTCCCCTTTTAGACTGTGAGGCATCACTGTGGCAATATACCAGCTGTTAACAAAGCTCATTATTTGTCACCAAGTATTCAATATATTTGACATCGTGTTTTTAAACAATTTGTAGTCTGGAAATGAGGCAAAGATGACATTGAGCACTTGGTTCTCTTCTAAAACGTTGTATAGCCATCTCTGTTGAGCCTTCACTTCCTTTTTGTTCCAAGAAAAATAATTGAGTATACCTAAAAATAAAAGATAAGCAGTGAAAAATTAATTTATTTCCTCTTTTTTACTTCTATATATGTATGAAGATGTATATTTTAATTTTGATCACATATATGGCAATATTGGTCCTTCTAACTGTAGCAAATCGTCTCTATCTGGTTTGAGTCACTTTAACCCAAAAGCCCTTTTGCCTGACTTTTTGGGGATCAAATGCATGCGAACTGGAGCTTAATAGCTTTACAAATATTGACTGACTTTCCATGTTGCAAATGGGCATCACTTTTCTGTTTGTGTCTGTGAATACGTGTGCTGAAAGTTGTAATTCTCTCTTATCGCAGCTTCTGCAAACAAGACAAGTTGCCCATTACGTTCCAGTCCTGCGTGATCACGAAGGAGTGCCAGGTGTCAGAGTGGTCCGAATGGACCCCCTGCTCCAAAACCTGCTTTGACATGACCACCCCGAAGGGGAATCGTACGAGATCACGGACCATTAAGCAGCTCCCTATCGGCGGCGAAAGCGAGTGCCCGCAATTAGAAGAAACAGAGCAGTGCGTTACTCAAGGAGATGGCGTGGCACCGTGCATCACGTGAGTCAGTTCATCTCATACCAAAATGAAGGATTTCAATTAAGCACACAGGGCTGGTGATGGAATATCAACCAAATCATTATTACAGAAATAATAGGTTTTGTTTTTTTTTTGGGGATCAAATGCATGCGAACTGGAGCTTAAAAGCTTTACAAATATTGACTGACTTTCCATGTTGCAAATGGGCATCACTTTTCTGTTTGTGTCTGTGAATACGTGTGCTGAAAGTTGTAATTCTCTCTTATCGCAGCTTCTGCAAACAAGACAAGTTGCCCATTACGTTCCAGTCCTGCGTGATCACGAAGGAGTGCCAGGTGTCAGAGTGGTCCGAATGGACCCCCTGCTCCAAAACCTGCTTTGACATGACCACCCCGAAGGGGAATCGTACGAGATCACGGACCATTAAGCAGCTCCCTATCGGCGGCGAAAGCGAGTGCCCGCAATTAGAAGAAACAGAGCAGTGCGTTACTCAAGGAGATGGCGTGGCACCGTGCATCACGTGAGTCAGTTCATCTCATACCAAAATGAAGGATTTCAATTAAGCACACAGGGCTGGTGATGGAATATCAACCAAATCATTATTACAGAAATAATAGGTTTTGTTTTTTTTTTTTTTCCAATTTTTTGCTTATTCAGTGCTTTTCTTAAAAGCCTGAAGTCTGCAAATAGCTGCTGTTATAGTGAAATCACTTCCTCCTCTAAATACAGGAAACAATAACAAATACATATTTTTTCATTAGTGTTAACTTTTAAAAGAGAACATTTGTGTGTATGTATGCAGGCTCAATGAAGACCATAATAAATTAATCATATTAATTTGTCAGGGATCTTTTCCCTACATAACATTTTTCCCAGAATCATTATGTTCTGAAGTACTTCTCTGTTTGGAGACAAAGTGCTGAACATAGGAAAGAGGTGAGAAACATCTGTTCAGCAACTGGACTTTTTTAGAGAGACTCGTATTCAGCACAACAAAGGCAGGACTGGGCCCCAAATGGAAAGTGGGAGAGACTAACGGGCATATCTAATAAATTAGCCCTGCTTAAAGTTTAGGAGAAATGACAGCAAGCACTTTACGATTCAAGAGATTCCTGTAATCCTTATCAAATAATCGAGATTAATATTAAAGTCCCAACTGTGCTTTTTCTTTATCAGACTGAGAAGAGGGTTTGGGGAAATGTCATTTGATGTGAAGCATCTTTGACTGTGGCACATATTTTTCATTTAAGAGTTGAAACGTCACCTTTCCCCATCTCCAGCCGCATTGGGAAGCGGTTCGCTTGATTTAGCCTTAAAGTACTTGTTGGGTGGAGAATTCCGTGGCATTTCTCACGGCTTATAATCCTGATTGGGGTTTTAACTGGGAGTCACAGATCCTCCTTTCTGGGCATTCACTGATTAGAAAGCTCACAGCTTCTCATCATTCATCAGTACCCAGCAGGGATGCTTCAGTACTGCAGAGCCATCTTCCTCTCGACAGTGAAAAAGGGACTTACTGAAAGGTTCTTCTGAAGTAATAGTAAAAAACTACAATTATAGCTTTACCTTGATATTCAGGAGAAACTGCTGTCTCTCTTATCAAAGATGAACAAGATGCTTTGGGGTTTATTTTTTTGGAGTTGGGTTGTGTTTTTTTCCCCCTCTTATTTTCTGGCTCTTATGTTTTTCAGTATGCACATTTCTTTGATATTTTGGCTTTAGTTCATATAAATTGTCTAGCTATAGACAAATGCCAGGAGTCAGAGTCTTGAAAGTTAGCTTATCTGAACATAGACTATATGACTCTATATAACAAGTGTTTCTTCCCTCCAATATATTATTTATATGTACAGAATGATTCAGGAATTGAAAAGATTTTCCTAAAATTAAGGATTTCAGAAGTGAAATAATATATGTACAGAATGATTCAGGAATTGAAAAGAAAAGATTTTCCTAAAATTAATGATTTCAGAAGTGAAATAATAGAGGAAAAGTTTCCACCCACATAAAATATCAAACTTAATGCATCTCTTTGTACAATAAATTGTGGTGCTTAAGCCTTTTAGAAAATCAGTACAGGTATTAAGGTGTTTCACTGGTATGATTTAATGCTGTGTGAAATGGCTTCCTGATTTCTAAAGACCCAATTAACCAAATTTGCTCCAGGTATGGCTGGCGGACCACGGAGTGGACAGAATGTCGTGTTGATCCTCTCCTCAGCCAACAGGACAAGAGGCGAGGGAATCAGACCGCGCTGTGCGGCGGCGGCATCCAAACCCGAGAAATGTACTGCGTGCAAGCTAACGAAAACCTCCTCTCCTATTTAAATACCCTCAAGGAAAAAGAAGGTAAATTTGATTCACTTGCAATTGAATTAGTGTGAAATCAGAGAACTTCAGCATTCCAGAACTCCCTGATTGCCACTGTCATGAGGGCCTTCTAACCTTGCAGGTTACTGTTATTTTCTAGTTCAGATGAAAATACTTAATTGCAGCAGCAGAGATTTCATGCTCTGTGCTGCTAATATTGTTTCCTTGCTACAAATTACTGTTTCTTAATATCTACTGAATAATATTGTCTTATGCAAAGGGTGTCTCTCAATAGGAAAGAGCATGAGAAGGTGTGTCATAAATCCTAGATTCGGTTCCTTCCTCTAATGTAAATTTTCCTGTGTGTCCTTCAGCTGGGTGATGAACCTGTGGGGTTTGATATGCAGATGGAATCTGTCAATTCTGGCATGTAAGCGCAATATAGAAATATGTAAAAATATGACTAGATTTCATTCTCATGGAATTTATTATTTTTTTTTTTCTTTCCCTTCTCCTCTTGATTTGGTCAAGTTTTCTTAAGTGGCTTTCAGGAGTTCAAGCCAATATAATTTCACGGTTTTGTTTCCCTAACTGAACGAGAGAAAAGATTATTCCTTGTCACTGTTACAGCATGTACAGATTCTTAGGAAAAGAGAGAATAGCTTAGGAGACAAAATTCGTTTGGTGATATACATTCTTAAGACCAGCAGTTGAGTATTTGATGTTATGTCTGCTTCTGCATGCTAATACAGCACTGTAGATTTCGTAATTAGTGAATTAAGCTAAATGCATTTAGCTTGTTAATTACATTTTATCCTCTTCTGTAGCTGTTTTGTATGAACACACATTATTATTATAAAAAGATAAATAAATACAGCCACATACTTCAGGAAAAACAACATATTATACAAATTAGGTGTAATACAACATTTAGACCAAACTGCCGGCTAATGAGGTTTCTGCTGTGGGTTAAAGGTACCCTCGAACTTGCTGCAGAGGTGCAGTTTGTGGGGAATATTAATGCTGACATCCCCTTCAGCCTGTCTGCTTGGATCAGTAGGGTGTGACTCGTGTGCTCGGTGGGCCCCACATCTGTATTTATTAAAGCAGCAGCTTTCAAGCCTCTTTGTTTAATGCAAATCAGCTTCCGCCCAAGGGCTTTTAGTAAATCGCCTGTGCCGAACAAAGTTTAGATGCCCCTGCTTCGGAGTAAAGGAGTAAAAGCTCCCGGCTAAGGAGAGGTAACAATAAAATCAGTGGCAGCTCACTGTTCGGAATGATGATTAGGATTTTGGTAGGCTGTGAAGTCTCGCCGGCTTAGGCGGGTGTGAAATCTGCCCTTATCAGGCTGTGACAGGAGTACGCCGAGCCCATCAGGAGGTAATCTCTGCTGGCCCCGGAAAGCTGATTAAAATGTAACTAGTCTTTGGATGCATAAACATGAGAACAATTTTTCGAGAGCTCAAACGAGGGGTGAAGTGGGTCTCAGTTTCAAAAAGGAGCTCCAGGGTGTTTCTGCGTATGGGGAGAGATTTTTCAGAAGAGCTCCTTCTCCGGCTCATAGAATCACAGAATGGTTTGGGTTGGAAGGGACCTTCAAGATCATCCAGTTCCAACCCCCCTGCCCTGGGCAGGGACACCTCCCACCAGACCAGGTTGCTCCAAGCCCCATCCAGCCTGGCCTTGAACCCCTCCAGGGATGGGGCAGCCACAGCTTCTCTGGGCAACCTGTTCCAGTGTCTCACCACCCTCACAGGAGAGAATTTCTTCCTAATATCTCATCTAAATCTCCCCTCTTCCAATTTAAAACCATCCTCCCTCTCTCCACCTTCTTACCTTGTATTCGGCCCCCCTAGGCCCCCCTAGGAAATCAGTGCCTCTTAAAAACAACCCCATTAGAAAACTACGAGCAATTTGAGGATTGGAAAAAGCCGGGGGAGGCACCCTACCAGTTTTATCTGCAGGGAAACGCCTTCATCTCAGCGTAGTTTGCTGTCGGTTGGAGTGAATGCTGTCTGGGGAAGGCTGAGTTCTCGTATACTCACAGTGGCGTTTCCCTGTTATTTCAGAAAGTCAGTCACAGAGCAAGTCGAAGGCTAGTGCTGCACCTCTGCTATCCATCACTTTTGAAATAACAGGTAGGTAAATTAAGGCCTCTGACCCGGCCTTTCAATCCAAAGCGGGCAAAAGAGGCAACATCCCTTTCGGGGGAACTTCGTTGGCTGTGTGTGTATCACTAATGTGTATATAGCTCGGAAATAGTTTAATGGATTTGTGTGTTCTCAGGAAATTTCAGATCAGTTTGAAAGTGACAGGCCTAAACTCAAACTAATAAAGTCCAGGAGCCAGGTAGGATGCAAGGACAGTGCCCTGCTCCAAAATCAGTGACTGATTTTCCTCTCGGTTCTGAGGGCTGGGAATTGCTTGGTTGTGCTCATCACAACGACACATCACAGCTGCTATTCCCAGTCCCCTCTGTAGATTTAAACCACTGAGGTAGTGCCCCAGTGAGAATTTGAACTTTTAATACGTCGCTAAGCCAGAGTCCCTCATGGCATTCAGGTCTGTATTATCTCCTATCAGAATTCATAAATTTAGACTTGAGGAAGAAGAGGGAGTATTGGGTGTAGTATTGAGGCAGTTGACTTAAGTTGAATTAAGATTCCTGGAGGCCACTGTCATTCTGCCATTTACTTACCACTGTTTTAAATTGTTTCTTCTCTGTTCACCTATTTAAGTGGTTTAGTCATGAAGTTTCTCAAGTTTTTCTCTCTATGAGGTAGATTGGGTCATCTTTTTCCAAGTACCTTTAAATCCCTCCCTGCAGAATGACGATGGGAGGAAAGTTCCTTTATGGGCATAAGTTTATTCTATGTCTGCAAACACACCCTCATTGCCCTGTTGGAACACAGAGCAGCTGCTTACATGCATGGAGTCATGCAGTTGCTTAGAGGATTGGGTCCTGAATTATCTGCTGTCTTTCGATGACAGCATTCAGCATCGTAGAAAATGGGGGGAGAATATGCATTCTTTCATTATTGGCCAGAATGTGTTTGGGGCTTGGGTTTTTCTTGCTTTTTTTACTAGTAAGAGCACGTTAGTTGGAGAAATTTCCTTCTGTTGTTTACCGTGAAACCACTACAACAAATGACCAGAAGGAGGAATATGAAGTTGTCTCTGCTTATGCTGACGCAGCCACATATGAATTCACTTTCTTTGCCAGCCATTAGTTGCCACATATGAATTCACTTTCTTTGCCAGCCTGGTCATTACTGGGCATTAGTCTGTTGAGGATTCCTGGAGAAGAATGGGGAGGTTGAGAGCCTGATAAATGTAGCAAAATCTTAAGAACAGAAATGTGGTTTAGCTTTCCAGCTTTTTTTAAAATGCAGTCATTCTGGCAGTTGGTTTATAAGGCTATAAAATATATTCAGCTAAAATTTTCTAATATAGTAGATGATTTGAGAACAGGGTGATTGAATATCATTTTAATTTTTAGGTCACTACCTCAAACCTAAAATTCATTCAAAACTGAGTGTAATTTTGTAGCTACACTGAAGGAGAAAGAGAGATTATCAAAATGCATTCACTTTTATTTCCATTTTTGGCCCCAAATTTGGTCAAATTCCACACAGAGCTTGTAGTATTACACACAGTCTAATCAGCATCCAGTTTCACTGCCAAGGAATAAAGAACAATCTTTATTGCTGCCACAAAATAGTATGAAAGGCTAGAGATAAGACAAGGTTTTAAACTGAAATGTAGTATTACACACAGTCTAATCAGCATTCAGTTTCATTGCCAAGGAATAAAGAACAATCTTTATTGCTGCCACAAAATAGTATGAAAGGCTAGAGATAAGACAGGGTTTTAAACTGTGAATTTTTGCATCCAGCATCATCTTCTCTCAAAGCATCTTTGCTAAGCAATAAGCAACAAAAGCTGAGCTCATTTGTACTTTTTTGATGCTGAAAGAAATCCATTTAAATTAATGGGAGCAAGATGCTCCTAAGATACCCAAGCAAGGCTAAGTTTTCTTATTTTACTGTCATCTCAAAGAAAGTATTCTGAATAATCCTGAGTAAAATAAACCTTGAGTGTTCAATGATGAAAACAGTTTTTAATAATCTGGAATATAAATTGTCTGTCCTACTGTTGAATTATTTTGTTTTAAAAGCAATATATAATAGATCTGGTAGCGGACATTTGTACATCACTTATGTTCTAAGATAAGCATTTTAAAAACGCTCTGGCATATTGAGAGATTTATTGATATCACTTACCTGTCCCCAAAGCACTTCTTTCTTCCCCTGCACTCCAATGAGTGATGGAAAGGGCAGATACTTTCAGTAGGTGTTTTCATGAGAAATGTATTTAACCATGTTTGCTGACAAGAGCTAGAATTCTTCCTGGACAGATACCTTCCTGTTACTTAAGTCAGCCTCTTTAAAGCCAAACACAGTCAAAATTCCTCATATTTTAAAATTTCAGGACCATCACCAATTTAGCTTGAAGCCAAATGGATTGTGCCAGTAGCACAGTAGTACCTTCTATTGACCTCTTTCTTCCCCTGCACTCCAATGAGTGATGGAAAGGGCAGATACTTTCAGTAGGTGTTTTCATGAGAAATGTATTTAACAATGTTTGCTGACAAGAGCTGGAATTCTTACTGGACAGATACCTCCCAAAATATTGAAATGGTATTCCTATTACTTAAGGCAGCCTCTTTAAAGCCAAACACAGTCAAAATTCCTCACATTTTAAAATTTCAGGACCATCACCAATCTAGCTTGAAGCCAAATGGATTGTACCAGTAGCACAGTAGTACCTTCTATTGGCAGACTCTTAAAAAATATCTGGTGGAGATATGGCACATCGATGATATGAAAACCTGCTATTTAAAGCTTCCTGATGAAAGGTTTTTTGTTATTTTCTTAAGTAACAACCCATGAACTAGTGTGATGGTAAGTGCTTTGTCCTGATGGAGGCTGGAGATGAAGCACAGCATTCCCCAGAACGCTGTCTCTGTTCCCTGAAGCAAGGCTGCGTCTCAGGGGTGTAATTGACCCTTAATTTCAACTGTCTCACTTGGGCAATTCCCCGATTAAATCTTTGTTTTTTTTTTTTTTTTTTTTTTTTTTTGGAAACTATTCAATACAAATTCAATTACAGGCAAATTATGTTTATTTATATCCATGTTCTGCACAAGATATGCATATAATGTTGATTATCATGCACGTTAAGTGTGCCTGTCAAACTTATTGTAAAATTCAATGTTCTGTCATAAAATTGAATTCCAACACAGCATTATGCAAATGCTGGACTATTTGTTCATGTATTATTTTCTGTTAAGAGATTGGTGAGCTGGAGGCAGTAATGTTGAATGACTGTCTGCCATCCTCATGCCTTCATTATGTGGAGCAACACGGCGTAAAACTGTGCAAAAGGAGGCAACACAGGAAACCAGAACAGGGTGTTGATTTTTCATTCCTTTCCCCCTTAAAAAGGGAGAGTTGAATGCTTCTGCTGTAACTGGAAACATCACCTACTTAGAAAATCTGAATGGAAGGACACACATTTATATACAAATGAGGCCACACTCTAACAAACTGATGTTTACTTTAACATTATATCTGTGGTTACTGACCTCATCTTTCAGAAGAATATTCTGTCATATTCTGAACTTATTTGAGAATATGTTTCATCAGAGAGCCCTTTCCATGAAAAGAGATCATTTGTAGTGGTGGCAGAAAATTAATGAGATAACTCTCCTTTGAAAAATTGCTGAGGGAGTAGGATAAGGGTAATGGGTAATAGGTAATATAGGACGAGTCCTGTATTGTGAAAGGGAATTAAAATGTTGCTTGTAATGAAATGGTAGATTTTGTTTCAGAGTTCTGTGCCCTGCTCTTGCACCTTGTAGAATTGTCCTATTGTTTGTGTAACCTGGGAATTCAAAAGGGGAAAGTATGGAAAGAGCGGGGTGATTTTGTCCTGTTCGAGGGCTTATTGATCCTTAAAGATAGAAGAATCTGCCTTCACATGTGTATTTATAGATTAGTAATATATTAATGAAAAAATCAGTTTTCTTGTGCAGTTTTAATTATTTAAAATATATTTTGTATATAGAATCATAGAATGGTTTGAGTTGGAAGGGGCCTTAACAATCATCGAGTTCCAACCCCCCTGTCCTGGGCAGGGACACCTCCCACCAGACCAGGTTTCTCAAAGCCATGTCCAGCCTGGAATTTAACTCCTCCAGGGATGGGGCAGCCACAGCTTCTCTGCCTCACCACCCTTACAGGAAAGAATTTCTTTCTGATATCCAATCTTTCTGATATCCAAGCTTGTCTTTGTAGGAAAGGTGCTCCAGCATGGCCCTCCTCCAGACACAATCCAATGGGTCTGTGTCCTCCTTATGTTGAAGGCACTAGAGCTGGACGCGGTACTCCAACTGGGGTCTCACCAGAGTGGAGCAGAGGGGGAGAATCACCTCCCTCAACCTTCTGTTCATACTTCTTGTGATGCAGCCCAGGACACTGTTGGCTTTCTGGGCTGTTAGCACACATTGCCAGCTTGTGTTGAGCTTCTCATCCATCAACACCCACAAGTCCTTCTCCTCAGGGCTGTGCTCAATCCATTCTCTGCCCAGCCTGTATTTGTGCTTGGGATTGCCCCAACCCACTTGCTCTTGAGCTTATTGAATTTTGTGAGATTTGCATGGGCCCACCTCTTAAGCCTGTTAGGGTCCCTCTGGATGGCATCCCTTCCCTCCAGGGTGTTCACCACACCACAAAGCTCGATGTCATCGGTAAACCGGCTGAGGGTGCACTCAATCCCACTGTCCATGTAACTGACGAAGACATTAAACAGCACCAGTCTCAGTACTGACCCCCTGAGGAATGTCACTTGTCTCCATTTGGGCATTGAGCCATTGACCATAAATCTGGGAGTGCAACCATCCAGTCAATTTTACATTTATTTATGTTATTTGCCAACCGTGTAAGTATCTAAGACATAGCCTTTCTTGAACTAACACTGCTACTGCACATGTCTTACTGCTGTGTGCCCTTGAAGGTCATTAGCATAAAAGAGAAAACAAAGTTTTGTCATAATTTTAACTTTGTTTCAGGTTATAGCTTAAAAATAATCTTCTAAATGTTAATTAACCAGCTTTTGAAGTTATAGTATCATATAGGAGAAAAGGGAATTATCCAGCTTTTCGCTTATGTTTTTAAGTGAAGACATACTCAATAAGAGAGGAGGACATCAATTTAGAGAGAGTGCAATGTGAAGAACTGTTGTGGTACCATAATCTATCTGTTAATGAAAGGACTAAGCCCAAGAAGGAGCTGCAATATCTACTGACTCCACGTAATTGGATTTGGCTCTGTTCATGCAGAGGGTAAACTGACTTCTGTTTCATTTTTTTCAAGACAGGCATTTTTCCATCACTTCATCAGATTAAAATGATGAGATAGCAGCCTTTCTGAATGAAGGATGGTTCTGTCCACTTAGAGCTGAGGATGGTGACCACTGACATGTGAGAAATGTGTTGACTTTGTTTTGACAGCCTCGAGGCCAGTGGACCGTAGTCTGTGTACGGGACCTCTTCCCAGCACCTCCCAACTGTGCCATATCCCCTGTCCTACAGAGTGTGAGACCTCGGCGTGGTCTGCCTGGGGACCATGCACCTACGAAAGCTGTGATGATCCTCAGGCCAAGAAAGGTATGTAAAAATTCAGCAAAGCCTTTTAATGGTGATTATTCCATGCTCCTAAGTCACTAGGCATGTCTGGCTGTGCAAGCATACTACATTTTGTACCAAGAAGGGCATATCCAGTGCTTCTGAGATCAAAGAAGGTCAGTGAATTGGGACTATATTTAGCATTACTGCTCCACCAAAGCGGGCAAAAATGTAGGCTATTTGCTAGCCTCTCAAGGTCAATTTGGTTATTATAGGTCAATTCCAGTTTCAAATCTTCCCTTCAAACTGAGAGGGATACAGTTTGTATGTGTGTTCAAATGACAATTCTGGCACTGTCTCAAAAGGAGAACAGAAGTTACCTTTGAGGTGCATAGTGTCCAAGTCAACCAAAGATTTACAGTTCAGTAATAGCTCAAGAATCCACCAATAGACCATGAAGCATTCTCTGGCAAAGAGCTGGGACCCTTTGCTGTTGATAAGGGACACTGTTTTACTGATGACATATGTGCTGGTTTCCATTTTCACAGGTTTTACAGTTTATTCCTTTGCAGAACAGACTGTAGTAACTTGACATCAAAATAGGAATGCAAGAATACGTTGACAAGGACCTCATGTAAGAAGTCTGCAGGTTTCTGGCTGGAAATGAGAAAAACTGGCCTTGTCATTGCTGTGATGTGATTACCTGACACAAGTTGAGAGTCCAGACTTGGGGCCATGATTGAAAACATTAATGAGAAAGGGCAGCCACATATGTCCCCTTGAGGAGCAACTGTAATTATGACATTAGCTTAGCTGCTTCTTCCTGGTATATTGCAAGTTGCACTTCAGTCTGGGCAGCAATAATGCAAGTTTTACAATGTCTCACATGAATGTGACCCAAATTTGATCAATTCCAGAAGGAAAAAGCAGTTTGGTGTGTAAGCCTATTGGGTATCTCCTCTGAGTAGAGCTGTCAAGTAGTCTGTTGTTTCTGTTGCTGCTTCACCACTGAAAGATTTGCTCCATTTTCAGGGGTAATGTTTAGGTTTGTGAGGCTGATTTGGATACCTGCCTGATGGAAACATAATAGGGTGCAATTTATGCAAGTCTTTATTTCTGCATATATGAGCAGGGAACTTTTCTTAACTGCCAGTGTTTCCCTCTTATCTCTAATTACTTCAATTTTATTTTGTAATTTCACTGACAGTTTTTCTGAGAGAATGATGTAAAAGTTGTACGGGCACTCCCAGTTTTAGCAGCAAGTCTCTCTACGTGTTTCAGGAATGGCCTTTTACTGTGGATCATTTGCCTCCTTGGTTGCAGTAGGCACTAGACTTCTTTTTCTGAAATTGTATTAGCCTTTTGTGGCATGTTCGGTAAACCATTTGGATGTAATTTGGCTGACCTCTTCAATTTAGAAAAAAAAAAAAAGATAGATAAAGATAGATACATGGAAATACATTTTTAAAGTAGTATTTATTATAATTGAATTAAGAGGCATGTCTTCAAACAAAGAATCTGGGAAGAACAACCCAGCAATCTAGTCGAGATGGGTTAGGTGAGATGGATATAGCAAGAGTGATGGATGGGAAATAACTCCTCTCTCTCTCCTGGAGTACGTATGGCTAGGATAAACAGGGGTTTCAGGCAAAGCTTACTGATTAAGCTCAAAACTTTTGAGTAAAGCTCTTGGTAAGTTTTACTTCTCTTCCTTCTAGCCAGTTATCTAAAATGCAGAGTTGCGCTGAGTGTCCGTGGCATCTTTTACACAGAAGAGAAACAGAACTGTTCACTTGGGTGTAGAGAGATGCAAATCTCTTCACTTTGCATTTCACAATTTAATTACTCTGCCCTTTGTATTTTCACGGACATTTCAGGCTTCAAACTAAGGAAGCGGCGCATCACCAATGAGCCTACAGGAGGAACGGGAAACTGCCCTCACCTGCTGGAAGCCATCCCGTGTGAAGAGCCCTCCTGCTATGACTGGAGAATCGTGGGGCTGGAGGAGTGCATTCCTGACAACGAGAAGCCATGTGGCCCTGGTACGCAGGTTCCTGTCGTCGTCTGCGTCAACAGCGACGGTAAGATGCTTTTTCCTACAGTCCACACTGAGTAGAGTGAAGATGCTAAAATGTAGTCCAGAAGGGTAGCTGTTTTTGTTGTCCTCAGCTTTCTCGGTCCTTAAGCTGTCATGAGGTTCAACAAGAGCAAATGCAAGGTTCTGCACCTGGGCCAGAACAATCCTCACCATCAGTACAGGCTAGGGGGTGAGGGATTAGACAGGAGCACTGAGGAAAGGGACTTGGGGGTGCTGATAGATGAGAAGCTGGACATGAGCAGGCAGTGTGCAGTTGCAGCCCAGAAGGCCAATCCCATCCTGGGCTGCATCAAAAGATGCGTTGCCAGCAGGTCCAGAGAGGTAATTCTTCCACTTTACTCTGCTCTGGTGAGACCTCACCTGGAGGATTGTGTGCAGGTCTGGAGCCCTCAATATAAGAAGGACATGGACCTGATGGAGAGGGTCCAGAGGAGGGCCACAAGGATGATCAGGGGGAGGGCGCCCCTCTGCTACGAGGACAGGCTGAGGGAGCTGGGGTTGTTCAGCCTGGAGAAGAGGAGGCTCTGGCGAAACCTAATAGCGGCCTTCCAGTACCTGAAGGGGGCCTACAGGAAGGCTGGGGAGAACCTGTTTAGAAAGGCCTGCAGGGACAGGATTAGGGGAAATGGCTGCAAGCTGGAGGGGAACAGATTTACGCTGGAGATTAGGAGAGGGTTCTTCACTGTGAGGGTAGTGGAGCACTGGAACAGGTTGCCCAGGGAGATGGTTGAGGCCCCTTCCCTGGAGATATTCAAGGAGAGGCTCGACGAGGCCCTGGGCAACCTGGGCTAGTTGGGGGTGTCCCTGCGGACTGCGGGGAGGTCGGACTAGCTGACCTTTGGAGGTCCCTTCTGGCCTGGGCAATTCTATGATTCTATGATTCTATGAATAGAGAGAAATGTCTTTCAGTATTGGTTAGGAAGGATAGGCCCTCTAGTTGCTCTAGGATCAAGCTCCTTCACCTACACACTGTAGGTTTTCAAAGGTTTCAGAAGAGAGTTTGAGAAAAGTAAATAGACAGCAGCTATTGTTTTTCAGTAGGTGACTCATGCCTACAATGACTTGACTGAATTCCCTGATGTAATCCCACTAACAAATCTGATCCTCCGAGTCCAAAACCAAATAAAGTGTGAGTAAAGTAAGACACATTGCAGTAAATATAGCTGGAAGAAAAATAATAATGTGGTTATTAAAAAGCATGGTTTGATGTCTGTTATGGAGTTGATTTGACAGTCCAGGCTGTCTTGCTTCTTCAAAAGGTCAAAAAAAATACCCCCATTATTCAGTTATCCTCTGTGAGAGAAAACAGATTTTGAATGGCACAGTAATAAAAGTCAATTTTGAGAGCTGCCTACAAAGTACTCTAGTCAACAAAAGACTAATTACTCTTGCGAGAATATTCTTTATTCATTAGTAACATTATAGTATAGAGCAGCAGATGAATTAAAATAATTTTACTGACTACAGCACAGTTATAGTAAGAGACTTCTAACTCCCTATAGAGGATTAAGTAAGAGGACACCTCTGATGTGTGTTTAACAGCTGCACAAAATATTTTGTAATTAAATTGGTCAGAAGTAATAATTACTGATTATAGGGAGGTTTAAATCTTGAGATTTCAGGCTCAAGAATTTGTGTTACAATTGAGTTTTGTGGCTTAAATTGTAAACCTTAGAGGAGCGAAGCTTTATTTTGTGCATACACCTAAGAAAACTGTTAGCCATTTTTATATCTCAAAAAGAAATTAATTAGCCTGGAATTCAAATATTGAATCTCCTACATTTCATGTCCCTTTCTCAAAAATTTCCATTCATAGTGTAGTAATTTCTTGGCAACAATACTGAAACTATTTCAAATTTTGTTTGTATACATTTTCCGATGAAAAATGGCCTTAGCCTCATAAATGAAAGTGTTTCCTAAATCAATCAGAATTTCTCTCTTTTTTTAATAACAAAAATAGTGTGTAATTTTTTTTCTTTACTAGAGTTTGGATAATTTGGCTTATCCTCAGTTTTGAGAAGTGGTATTTGCTCATGTCTAACTTCTGATTAGCCAAATTTCTTACTAAATCATAATATAGACATTTATATTTACTATAATTTATTGTAATTACAAAACATTTGGAGCATGCAATGGAGCTACTAAGCTTTGTGGTATGTTTTATGTGTATGGTATTTTTTATTGTTATGTGTCAAACTTGCAGAATTCGCTCTCTGCACTGCATGGGCTGTGGTTTAGGCCAAATTTGACTTGGAGGACGTGATTGACTTTTTTACCCCCAGTATTAATCTTTGTCTTGCTGAATTATATGGCATTATATATTGCTGTAATTATATGGCATTATACATTGCCTGTATCAACAGTCTGTCCCAGAAGGAGTGAGAAGTCGGGCTTTGGCCATGTGATTGTCAGTCTTTAAGATTAAAGAGCTGTGGGCGCAGCTCCAAAGAAAGGAGAAAGCAAATTGCAATTATGGTTTGTTTTGCAAAGACCCAATCACCCACGGAGATAGGTGTTCAATATCTTTTGACAGAGTGCAAAAGCAACAGAGAGTAACGCAGTGGATTGCCTCGGCTCTGACTTGAAATCCCTCCTTCTCTTAGCAAATAATCTCCTCTGATCTTCACCAGTAATACCAACTGGCTTTTGCTTAGGCCTCTCCTGAGAAAGATTACATGACACAGTAGAAGCAAACAAAATACAAAGCAAGGACCCACCAAACTTTGTAGTCTCTCCCTCCAAGCTAACTCTGCTCAAGCATGTCCTTACTTTGCCTCCCACAGCACCAACCCACTGAACATCCTGTAGGTGACTCTTAGATGCACCTCTAAACACACACCACCACCTCTTCCCAGGTAGCTCCCATCTAGTTCTCTGGCCTCGTACCCTGGCACAGGATACCCTTGGTGTCCTTCTTCACCAAACACTCGTTAACGGGATACATAATTTGTATAATAGTCATATGTTACTAGAAGTTTGATCTAAATGGCACACAGGGAATTTGGTTCAGTTTTACAGGTAAAAATGACTGTGAAGGGAAACAACGTGTGGAAAGCATTAATTATCACCTAGGTTTGCTATTTTACTTGAACTGAAGTAACCTTTAGTTAACAATAGTCTCTTCAGTCTTTTCAAGAGCTTTTTATTATTATTTTTTCATTCATCTGAATTAATTAGCCTAGTCTTAAACCAGTGCCTGGATAGGAGAGGTTGGATCAAAGGGACTTAAATGTATTAAAACAGAAGTGTATTTTCCCCTTGGCTTCTGCTTTATAAAATGAAAAAGGCTGGGGTTATAATTTTCAGAATAAATATTGTACTGTAAAAGTACTGCTTTAATGTAAGATAAACCCCACACTGATGAGTATCTTCTCTTTCTCTAGACTGTTTTATCGTTATATATGTTTAAAGCGTAATTAGTTGGGATAACATGTCTTGGCTTGAATGTTTTCTTCTACAATTAGAATCAAGTAACGGTGTTTGAGAGATTGTTTTATATAATTGGAATGAGCTTCTCTCTTCAATTTGGTGTAAAGATAAGAGTCATTACAGATTTTCAGACAATAGCAAACAACAGATTATCCTCCTGCGTTGTTGCTGGAGGCCTGTGATTGTCGTTCTCTTTCCACAGCAGATTGCAGTAATCAGAATTTTCATCCAGGCTGAAAAAAATATGACAGTCAGTACCCCAGGTTGTCATTGCAGAGGCTATAATGAACTTTGATGTATTTTATTACATAAATTGAACTTCAGCCTTCTAGTGTGGAAAGACCTTTTTCAGAATAAGTCATCTTAGCCAGCCTTCCAGGGAATTTTACAAAGGAGCTCCTTTAGGTGAAAAAAAACTCCTTTCAATTGTGGAAACTCCAAGATTGGACAGCAGATGATGAAAATTACTCCACACATAAATTATTTTAATAATTAGAGATTTGTGGCAAATGTACCGTGCTACAGACTAACTTTTGCTAATGATAGAAGGAATTTTTTAAATTAAACTTTAATTCAGCTATTTATATGTATACATGTGATACATATAAGGCATACTTGCATGCATGCACACACAGAGGTATGTGCATGTTATCTATTAAGTTCTTCAATGCAGTTTAGAAGAGTGATTTTACAGCAGATGAATTTGCTCTTTTTCTCTGTAGCTATGGCAATCCGTGGAGATTCAGAAATTCTCTTGTATTATTTAAAGACTCAGTCTATAGTAGGAAAGCTGGCCCCTTCTCCACTCGATGACAGATACATTAGTGCTACTCATATGTAAATATGGAAAAATAATTTCTGACATAAAAATCTGTAAAATTAACTACTGCTGAAAGTGCCTATAAAATGCCAGTTCATTAATTATGTTTTTTTTAAGGTTTTTGCCTTCGTGCTGAGCACAGGTACCAGCAGTGGCTGTGGTGTCAATATTGTGCTTCAGCCATGGGCTGAAATTACTTGCTCATTTTGTAGGAACGTGTAAATAATACATTGATTTAAAGCCTTTATAATGTAATGGGCTTTGTTCCACTGCGTGTGTTACTCTGGATGAAACAGGTCTGGCTTTTGAAGGGCAAATTTCTTCCGGACGTTGTTCAAGCTCACTAATTGTTGGGTTATAGTTAGCTCCACAGGGGGAAGGGATGGACCCACTGCCATCCCCTGTCTCCCAGCTGTGAGAGATGACTAGCCTTAGAAGAGGGAGCCATGGCAACAGCAAAGCTCTTCGTGGATATGCAAATTCCTGCAACTCTTTGAAGTAGCAGAAGTTAAGGAAAAGATATAGAGAGTAAACCAGTCTGTTTTGTTAAGATATTCGTATGTAAACATTTCAAACTGATTAGTTTAGCTGCTTTGTAAGGGGTGGCTCAAACGTTGTACTGTCCAAAGTGGAACAGTGAACGTTTCCTCTACCTGTGCTTATTCTCAGCTGGTGTGACTGTCTGAAGTCACCAGCCTTCAACTAGATGACAGTCCTGTAGAATTTAATTGCTT